TTGGCCTCCTTTCCCCCACTTTTAGGGGTCCCCTCCCCATTTTTGGGCTCCTTTCCCCCACTTTTGGGCTCCTTTCCCCCACTTTTAGGGGTCCCCTCCACATTTTTGGGCTCCTTTCCCCCATTTTTGGCCTCCTTTCCCCCAATTTTTGGGATCCCCTCCCCATTTTTGGGGTCCCAGAGCCCACTTTTGGGCTCCTTTCCTCCACTTCTGGTGGCCCTCTCCCCACTTTTGGCCTCCTTTCCCCACTTTTAGGAGTCCCCTCCGCATTTTTGGGGTCCCAGAGCCCATTTTTGGGCTCCTTTCCCCCATTTTTGGCCTCCTTTCCCCACTTTTGGGGGTCCCTTCCCCATTTTTGGGCTCCTTTCCCCCATTTTTGGACTCCTTTCCCCCATTTTTGCTGTCCCAGAGCCCATTTTTGGTCTCCTTTCCCCCATTTTTGGCCTCCTTTCCCCACTTTTAGGGTTCCCCTCCCCATTTTTGGGCTCCCAGAGCCCATTTTTGAGCTCCTTTCCCCCATTTTTGGCCTCCTTTCCCCCATTTTTGGGCTCCCAGAGCCCATTTTTGAGCTCCTTTCCCCCATTTTTGAGCTCCTTTCCCCCATTTTCGGTCTCCCACCTCCAGGTAGTCGAGGGGCAGGAAGGTTTCGGGCTCCCCTCGTTGCTCCTTGATGTATTGGATGCAATCCCTGCCCGTCTTCTCCGAATCCACGATGATGGCATCCATGTTTTTGCCCAGCACTTTGGTGACAGCAATCTGGTATTTCTTCTGGGTGGGTTGGCACAGGTCGATCAGACGGCCGTACTGGGATGGGGGGGAAGAAATGGGGGGTTAATGGGGGGTTAATGGGGGGATAAGGGTGGAAATTGGGGACAGGAAGGGGGTGGGGGTGAAAAGAGAGGGGTTGGGGCGAAGAAAAAGGGGAAAGGGAGGGGAGGGGGCAGAAAGAAAGGGGGAAATGGGGCAGAAAGAAGGGGGTGGGGGGCAGAAAGGGGGGTTGGGGGGTGAAAGGGGGGGAAATTGGGGAAAGAAAAGGGGGTGGGGGCAGAAAGAAAGGGGGTGGGGGGCGAAAAGAGAGGGATTGGGGCAAAAAAAGGGGAAAGAGAGGGGATGGGGGGGGCAGAAAGGGGGTGGGGGCAGAAGGAAAGGGGAAAATTGGGCAAAAAGGGGAAAATTGGGCAAAAAGGGGAAAATTGGGGAAAGGAAAGGGGGTGGGGGGCAGAAAGAAAGAGGTTGGGGTTTTGAGTTCTTCCAGTTGGGATTTTGAGTTCTTCCAGTTGGGATTTTGACCCCTTCCCACCAGATTTGGATTTGGGAACCCCCCCAGTTGGGATTTTGAGTTCTTCCAGTTGGAATTTTGGCCTCTTTCCACCAGATTTGGATTTGGGGACCCCCCCCAGTTGGGATTTTGGCCTCTTCCAGTTGGAATTTTGGCCTCTTTCCACCAGATTTGGATTTGGGGACCCCCCCAGTTGGGATTTTGAGCTCTTCCAGTTGGAATTTTGAGTTCTTCCAGTTGGAATTTTGGCCTCTTCCCACCATATTTGGATTTGAGAACCCACCCAGTTGGGATTTTGAGTTCTTCCAGTTGGGATTTTGAGTTCTTCTAGTTGGGATTTTGGCCTCTTTCCACCAGATTTGGATTTAGGGACCCCCCCAGTTGGGATTTTGGGCTCTTCCAGTAGGAATTTTGGCCTCTTTCCACCATATTTGGATTTGAGGACCCCCCCCAGTTGGTATTTTGAGTTCTTCCAGTTGGGATTTAGGCCTCTTCCCACCATATTTGGATTTAGGGAGCCCCCAGTTGAGATTTTGGCCTCTTCCAGTTGGGATTTTGACCTCTACCCACCACATTTGGATTTGAGGACCCCTCCAGTCGGGATTTTCAGTTCTTCCAGTTGGGATTTTGACCTCTTCCCACCACGTTTGGATTCAGGGACCCCCACAGCTTGGATTTTGAGCCCCCCAGTCGTGATTTTCAGACCCTCCACGTTGTGATCTGTACCCCCTCACCCCCCTGCCATACCACAGATCCGGGATAGAGCCTCTTGATGCTGTCCATGATCTCTGCCTTCCTCTGCTGCCTGCTGCTCTCCTGGCGGTCGATGCGGGCGTCCCCCAGCTGCTCCATCACCTGGTTCAGCTCCTGGTTGATCTCATCGATCCGCCGCTTGGCCGACTCCACCTCGGCCGTCAGCTCGCCCTCCAGGCGCTTCTGCTCCTCCAGGGACTGCCTGGGGGGGGGCAGGGGGGGCGTGGGGCACTTTGGGGACCATGTGGGGACCCTCTGGGGCACTTTGGGGCCATTTGGGGCCATTTGGGGACCATTAGGGGCACTTTGGGGACCTTTTGGGGACTCTCTGGGGCACTTTGGGGCCATTAGGGGCACTTTGGGGACCATTTGGGGACCCTTTGGGGCACTTTGGGGCCATTTTGGGCCATTTGGGGACCCTATGGGGCACTTTGGGGAACTTTTGGGGACTCTCTGGGGCACTTTGGGGACCATTTGGGGACCCTTTGGGGCACTTTGGGGCCATTTGGGGCACTTTGGGGACCATTAGGGGCACTTTGGGGACCTTTTGGGGACCCTTTGGGGCCATTAGAGGCACTTTGGAGACCCTTGGGGACCATTTGGGGCACTTTGGGGAACCATTTGGGGACCCTCTGGGGCACTTTGGGGCGATTTGGGGCCATTTGGGGCACTTTGGGGACCCTATGGGGCACTTTGGGGACCCTATGGGGACCCTTTGGGGCCAATTTGGGGACACTTTGGGGTCATTTGGTGATGTGAGGATTCTTGGAGACCCTTTGGGACCATTTGTGCCAACTTGGGGCCAATTTGGGGACACTCTGGGACCATTTGGTGACATGAGGACATTTTGGGGACCCTTTGGGGCCATTTTGGGGCCAATTTAGGGCCATTTTGGGGACACTTTGGGGCCATGCTTGGCCGACTCCACCTCGGCCGTCAGCTCGCCCTCCAGGCGCTTCTGCTCCTCCAGGGACTGCCTGGGGGGGGCAGGGGGGGCGTGGGGCACTTTGGGGACCATTTGGGGACCCTCTGGGGCACTTGGGGGCCATTAGGGGCACTTTGGAGACCATTTGGGGACCCTTTGGGGCACTTTGGGGCCATTTGGGGCCATTTGGGGACCCTATGGGGCACTTTGGGGACCTTTTGGGGACTCTCTGGGGCACTTTGGGGACCATTTGGGGACCCTATGGGGCACTTTGGGGACCCTATGGGGTACTTTGGGGCCATTTGGGGCCAATTTCGGGCCACTTTGGGCCATCTAGGGACACTTTGGGGCCATTTGGTGACATGAGGATTCTTGGAGACCCTTTGGGACCATTTGCGCCAATTTGGGGCACTTTGGGGACACTCTGGGACCATTTGGTGGCATGAGGACCATTTGGGGACCCTTTGGAGCCATTTGGGGCCAATTTAGGGCCATTTTGGGGACCCTCTGGGGCACTTTGGGGCCATTAGGGGCACTTTGGAGACCCTTGGGGACCATTTGGGGCACTTTGGGGACCATTTGGGGACCCTCTGGGGCACTCTGGGGCCATTAGGGGCACTTTGGAGACCCTTTGGGGACCCTTTGGGGGCACTTTGGGGCCATTTTGGGCCATTTGGGGACCCTCTGGGGCACTTTGGGGACCTTTTGGGGACTCTCTGGGGCACTTTGGGGACCATTTGGGGACCCTTTGGGGGCACTTTGGGGCCATTTGGGGCCATTTGGGGACCCTATGGGGCACTTTGGGGACCTTTTGGGGACTCTCTGGGGCACTTTGGGGACCCTTTGGGACCACTTGGGGCCAATTTGGGGCCAATTTGGGGCCATTTGGTGACATGAGGACCCTTGGGGACCCTTTGGGACCATTTGTGGCCAATTTGGGGCCATTTGGGGACACTTTGGGGCCGTTTGATGACATGAGGACCCTTTGGGGGCCATTTTGGGGACCATTTGGGGACACTTTGGGGACACTTTGGGGCCATTTGGTGACATGAAGATTCTTGCGGACCCTTTGGGACCATTTGCGCCAATTTGGAGCCAATTTGGGGCCAATTTGGGGACACTTTGGGGCCGTTTGGTGACATGAGGACCCTTTGGGGGCCCTTTGGGGCCAATTTGGGGAAACTTTGGGGACACTTTGGGGCCATTTGGTGACATGAAGATTCTTGGAGACCCTTTGGGATCATTTGCGCCAATTTGGGGCCAATTTGGGGCCAATTTGGGGACACTTTGAGCCCATTTGGTGACATGAGGACATTTTGGGGACCCTTTGGAGCCATTTGGGGCCATGTTGGGGTCGTTTTAGGGACACTTTGGGGACTCTCTGGGACGACTTGGGGCCAATTTGGGGTCATTTTAGGGACACTTTGGG